ACTGTGCATTCACTCACCATAAGGAAGACGAATCTACAGAAATATTAGCACCAAAGATGCTAGTCTGGAACTTCACAGAGTTAACATTGCTGCTGAGTCCATGGGACGATACCTAAAATAGAGAATACAAACACATGTTATTAGCATTAGATCTATCGTACATCAAACGAAAATGAGGACACAAAAGAATAGAAAGAAACTGATTTAACGGAAATTATAGCCTGTTGAATATCCGAATTGGAATGGAGAATGGCATAAACATCAACAGAAACTCAAAAAATCTACTGCAGATTTGAATTTAAAAATTCAAAAAAAAAAAANAAAAAAGGTAGCAGGGCAGAGCTATCTGACACTTCCTGAGCCCCATTTATATAGTCATGTTTCTTCATTGAAAAATTATTCGATTTGTTCGTTTACTAATATCCCATTATTTACTTTGCCTAGTTATAACCAATTTCTCCCACTTAATCTTGAAATTCTAAAACTTTCAATTTACCTTCTTGGAATTATCCAAATACATGAGCACATTTCCCACTTATTCTTGGAAACATGGACAAAAACACTACTATTTACTACTTCCAACAATAATTTAAGCCCTGTTTGGGAGGGATTAAATTTTTCTACAGTAAATCAATTCTCATTTTTAACCACACATTCAAGTTATTTTATTATAAAAGGTAGTGTAGTTATTAAAAAAAATGAAAAAGTTGGCGTGTAAAGGGTAGTACAGTGATAAGTTTTAGTTAAGAAGGGGGTTTTTAGAGAGGGTTTGTTCGAGAATTAGTAAGTTAAAGAAATGATGCAAGTTGTTATTAAATTAGTGGTAATAAATGGCGATTACCAACTATTAATTTTAAGGGTAAACTAGGAAAATTCTTCGCAAAAATTGTTTTTTCAATAACATTAAATAAAATTTCGTGTGAAAAACAAAATAGCCTTAAGTAGCCAACTTCCATGAATTCCAGATTTGAATTGATATTTTCTTCTCTCGTTCCATATGACAGTTAATATATACCATTCTATTGTCTTCTCTTCGTTAAATTTTGCTGATCCGGCAAATGTAACATAGATACCTCAAAATATAACTGCTAACTACTAGGTGAAATTAACACAAAGTCAAAATCCATATCCTACGGTAATTATTATCATATAACAACAGAAAGAATATATATATCAACCGAGATATTCAGCTTAGTAATTCACGAGGAAAAAAAACTTATAACAAATGTAAAGCAAGCAATCCTAGCTCATTCTCGAACCGGTTACTGTAGGTCAAACGTAAATTACAAATAATCAAAGGAAAAGGAAGTGACCATGGATGGATAGGACGGACGGAAGGCGTCAGCATCGATGACAGGAGACGGTGCAGATCTAAGGAGAGAAGAGAACGACATGTTTCCAACGAATGCACAAACTGCTTCTCTTCTCTACAGTATTTGATTGATTGATTGACCAATCGATCCTTACACTATATATATATATATATGAAAACGGCAAAACCCTAGAGAGGAAAGAAGAGATTTTGGCCTCTGAAGAAAATAGCAGGCCAACTTCTTAAACAAAATATAACAAATAGAAATGTTTCTCATGTTTCGGACGTTGGTGAATTTGTCATGTTGTCCAGATTGGGCCTTCCTTGGTAGCCACGTCCTCCTTCAAACTGTTCTTTTCAGCCTTCTTTTGTCGATAATTTACATCCTAACCCCTTCCTTGTAGCCACGTCCTCCTTCAAACTGTTCTTTTCAGCCTTCTTTTGTCGATAATTTACATGATTACATCCTAACCCCATTTTCTTATGAATAATCACTCAAAGTTTGATATTATTTTTGAAACATTCATTGTTTTAAAAAAAATTATTGACGGCACAATGTGTGTTTTTCTTAAAACCGTCCAATGTAATTTCGTCATGTGACATGACGTAAAAAATGATGTAAAAATTAGTACACATAGCATGATTGCTTTTGGGTTATTGGCTCAAAACGTCCCTACATTTGAAAAGTTGTGTGGAAAACATCCCTACGTTTGATTTTTTGGTGCGCAACGCCCCTACCTATCAAGTTTATTGTAGAAAACATCCATACCTTTCATTTTTTGGCACAAAACGTCCCTACCTTCTGCATTTCTTTGCACTGAACGTCCTTTACACATTTTT